CAGGAATGTTGAAGTCAGCAGGGGAATTGGACTCCCAGACTGAGGGAATGCCTCCTCGTTTGTGGCTGGGCTTAATAACAGCAGAAGGGATCACTACTGCAAGTCTGAGCAGCTGGAAAAATCTCCTGGAAGATGTAGGAAGAAGAGAATGGGTCTGAACAACATCTCTTGCCTGACTAACAGAAAGGGAGGCTCAGTTATTTAAGATGCATGCTAAGTTTTTATCAGGCTATTTGAAGGGAAGCTTAGGATACGCTAATACAATAGATACCAAATAGCATGACAGCTTCAGGAATCTGAGTAAAATCTGACAGATCTTTTGAAACTTATGAAATATCACCTGTACTATACCTAAAGCAAATGGAACATGGTGGATTTTGCTATATGAACACCCTTGAACAAATGAGCTTTCTCCTACTCAGAAAAACCTTATCCTTCAGTTGGGCCAGTTAACAAACACATTATCGAAGGGAAAACCTTATTCAGCTTTACGCATAGCCATCTATTCACTTTTAAAAGTGGGCTGTAACTTTATAAGAGCATGAGATGCTTACAGGCGCCTTTAGAGAGGTATCAACAGGAGAAACAGACCAAGACAGGACGAAAGCAGAGTGTCTTTGCACACTGAGAGAATTCAGAAGATCATTAGCATACAAAACCATAGTCCTTACAACTTAATCCTGAAAACATTTCTGCATCATTTGTGTGGGAAATTGCTCCAGTCTAGTTTTCTGAGTATAGAAGGGGCTTGTACCTCTATTTTGCTTCCAGCAGGTTTCTGAAAAATCTCAGTTTCAAGCCTGTGCTGTGCCTGACTTTCAAAGTTCTCCCTTATAAACAACCTTTTAGCTGCCTCTTAGCCACTAAGCTCAAGTTCAAAATCCTCTTGAACCTAGTTTGCCAGCTCTCTATCCAGTCCTTGTATTGCCTTTAAAATCTTTCTAATGCAGGTGACACATGGGCATACTTTTAAGCATATTAATCACTGCTTAGAAGTCATTCTTCACCTGATAGATGCTTCCTTCTCTTATGGGGGCAAGATTCTCTTTTTTAGGAAGATTGATTCCATTTCTCTAAAACACATCTATTAAAACAGTGGCTTCTACCACTCAATTTATTCTGACGGAGAGAGGGGAAAATTATACCACACGGGAGTCCAGCAAATTAAAATGGGTGTGTTCTGAAAATTTAAGAGGGAACTAGTTTCTAAAATATTTGTTAATTACATTAATTACATCCTCTTTCTGTACAGGAAGTATCAAGATGATTATATGGGGAGGGGAGGAGGAAGAAAGGGTGTTAAGTTAGCATATCAACAGACCAATTCCACTGTAATTTATTCCTTTTGTTCCTGTGAAGCCCAAGCTCCATATCAGTTAAAGCTGCAAAATGAAAAAAGTAAGACTAAAGAAACTTAGTTCCACATTAATGGCCAAAGCACTCAACTGAAATCTCCCAGGACATAGGAGCTTGTAGAGTCATCTGTTTTGCCATGGTGTTAGCCTGGAAATGAATCTAGTATCCCTAATATTAATATAGCTTACATGTTATCCAGCATTGGCACTGACATCTTCTGTTTAATATAGAAAGCACTTGTCACTTCTCTACAATTCAGGATAGGAAATGGAAACAGTAATGTACTAGCTATTATAATATAATACCATGCAGTTCCATATATGGTATTATAACAATATATGGTATTATATTGAGTTTAAGCTCAATCAGTAGATTAAACTTTGGATGTATGTGAATAATTCCTCAGTGAGACTGTGTGTCATGCACTGACAACAAAGGATGAAGAAATTACTTTTTTTCCTCCCATTATTAAATAAATGACTCCCTGCCTTTTTCTATACATGAGTACTTTGTACAGTGACTTTTTAGAAGATTTTCACTGAAAAACTGAACTGGCTTGCAGATGCTGGGAAGAAGACAAGCAAAGATTAATTTACCGAAGTTGTAGAAAAGTGACGATGCAGGGTTTGGACTTTATTCCAGATTTCAGAGTCCGAAACTATGAC